AAGAGCTCGTTTTGTAGAATTTAATCGTTGGATTTGGCCGAATTTGGAACGGCATATGTAGGACATACAATCCTAAATTATGAACGATTAAGATTAGAATTTGTATATTCTAACTTTAATATTGAATAGTGGAGATCAACCGCCATTTGGAGAGATTAATATTCCTCGTTTGTTGACAAGATTTAAGTATCTTGACGAGTTTTCTCTTATTGAGGAAAAGAAATAAATCTTCTTATCTTATTGTTGACAAGATTTAAGTATTTTGGGAAGTTTCCTCTTTTTGTGCTTTCTTGAGAGAAAGAAATACAATTATTTGTAATTAAATCATATTGGTGATCCAATATATTTCTCTAACTAAAGAAGAGTATTTTGTTACATTCTGTATCCTTATTAATAAAATAAAAATAAGGATTTCAAAGCATTAAAATGCTATGTGAATGAAAGTTGGAAAATGTCAACTTTGACAAATGAATTAAAAATGAGTACTGAAACTCTTGAAAAAAAAATTATGGATATCATATTGGTAAATTCTAGAATACATACTCTAGAATTTGTGGGGGAAATTTGATATCCCTAGTTAACCACATTAATATTTAGAAATGTGGGGGTCATTAGGCCCTAACCACATAAATTAGATATCCCGAGCTAACCACATTAATATTTAGAAATGTGGGGGTGTTTAGGCCAAGGTGAGAAAATAAAATACCTAAGTTAATATAAGGCCTAGTATAGTCAAGTAAATAAATATTGAATATATAAATAATGATTGTGCACGAGATAGTCACTCTTGATGCAAATTGATTATATTGTGTTTTCTTGTAAAATAAGAAAATGAATAAATTTTAAATAAGAGAACTTATAAATGTGTAAGTGGTAAATCATCAAAGTGATGAACAACCAAGTTAAAATATATGTGACTTATCAAAAAAAAAGTTAAATTATATGTGTGAGTGGTAAATCATCAAATTGATGAACAACCAAGTTAAAATATGTGTGGGTGGTAAATCATCAAAGTGATGAACAACCAAGTTAAAATATATGTGAGTGGTAAATCATCAAAGTGATGAACAACCAAGATACAACAAGATGGCAAATAAAATCAATATGTTTGATTTGATTTGATTTTATAACTTATGAGTTATAAAATGAACAAAGGACAATTATTGAAATATTGTCTACATTGGAAGAATGTCTTGGTTTACACAAACGGCTGGCAGTTCAAGATATCGCGTTCACTAATTCAAAGCCAAAAGCTACCTATCCCCATTGCAATAGTTTCCACTTGAACTCTCGATAGAATCCATCGTTTTTTGTTAATTTCATTCATGTGGGGGATTGTTGGAAATTTTATTTATAAAAATAAAATTATTTTGTTTGAATCAAAATTAAAAAATATTTTTAGGCAACTATTTGATCAAATAGGTGTGACAATATGAAGAGGTGTGACCACACCTCTTCACTTGTTTAATTTCCTAAGGGTTGTGTTCATTAATCACAACCATTGGAAACTTATAAATAGAAACTCCACATGTTTGATTTAATAACAACATAAAAATCAATTCAATTCCATAATTTTGTTCTATGGAATTTTTCTTTCTTTAGCCCGAAAATATTCTTCGTAGAATATTTTCTTCCGTATTCGATTCGAGAGTTTGAGACACAAAGTAACGTTCGTTGTACTCGTGATTTTGAGTGCTCATATGCCGAGTTAGCCGTTGTATCTTGGGAGACCATTGCCAAATAACCGTAAGCACTGTAGCAGGGCAATATTGTCTTAAGGAATGAGTATTCTCGCCTCGACTAATCTTTTCGTATTTTCAGTAATTAATTTGTTCGACCATTTTAATAAATTCACTACCCGTTTTATATACCGGGAACAACACTATTCCTTTTGAAATTCATGAATTGGGTAGCACAAAACACTTTTCAAAGCAATGGGTTTGATCTTAGATGATGATGGAGGCAATTTAGTTGAAAGGACGAAACGACCCATGCACTTAGTCATGTGCGCGTGCGTCCGAATATACCGCTGTTTACCTAAAATTAGTATGTGGTTAAGTGGCTCGAAGAAACTAGTTTGGACATGCCCGTACAATTGTTTTTTGTTAATGTGAGAATGTGCAAAAACGAGCAAAATATAGGTGACAAAATGCTATTTACCCTTAATATTACTATCTTTGCTTTACTTAACAACAATATTACTGTCTCAAACATTAATATTACTGTTTGAGATAGTAATATTATTGTTTTAACACATTAATATTATTGTATTAATTAATACTAGATTTCAGGCCCGTGCGATGCACGAGATTGAAGTAAAGTTCAATTTAGATGACAAAATTGAAGTTTCAATTCATTTTGATAGTTTGCTATATATATTGACGATAATCCCCCATCCTTAAATTTTTTGCCATATTTATTAATTTAACTTTATATTTTTGATGAAATATGGTTGTATATTTATCTTATTTCAGTTAATGTTGAAGTTTGACGAATCTTCTTCTTTATCCCCATAATAGGCCTCAGTAAATTTACTGTAAATCATTTAAATTTACTGTAAATCAATGATGCCATTAAATCTCAAGAGTTTATCAGGAGTAACTTTACTTTATATTAATAAGATAAGAACCAAATATTTTTTCTAAATAATTAAATAAATTTTTCATCAAATTAATATTAATTAAAAATAACAATTTTGTTGGGAAAAGATACATAAATTTTGGGTTGGGACGAAAAAGTCTGGATACTTAACGGATTTATTAAACTTGATTATATTAAATATAGTAATGCAATAAAATTAATTCATTAAATAAATGACAATTATAATTTATAACTATCAAGTAAGCCGGAAAAAATTCCTAAAGTTTAGCAGGAGCAACCTTACTTTTATTAATAAGATATTAAATGAAAATAAATAATAAAATAAAAAATTAAATAAATAAATAAAAATTACAACTATCAAATGAGTGGGAAAAATTTCCTAGGATTTAGCAGGAGCAACCTTACTTTTATTAATAAGATTATTGTCTTAGCCTGCAATACCTTTCAAATGTTGATGTGCAAGGATTCAATGTTGAAAACCAAAAATTGCTTGATGACAATTTTAGACGAATAAATGTCGTTAGAACACCATCGAGTAGAACTAGAAAAATCCAATTCCTATATCTAAATAGAAATTGCAAAATAATGTTATAGGTGTTTTATCTACCGACAAGCTAGAGCGCAAAATTTAGTTACGCAAAATATGCGTATAGCTATCAGCGGGAGTACATTACACTCCGAAGGTGAATCTGTTAATTATTATTTTTAAATCAATAACACATACAATTATAGACTGTATTTATTAAATGTTATTATATTGTGTTTTTAATTTTTTTATCCTAACATCACCCGACACTCTTACAATCTTTAATCTGGCACTTGTGGGATTCCGGTTAACTCTCCAAATTCATTTCATGAATCCAGTAAAAGGTGCATTTGTACTTTTTTTCTATGCGCGTTTGTAATTATGAAAATATTACGAGCATTATTTTTTTATTAACAATATGTAAAGTAATTACATTATTTAGTGATTATTATATGTTTCCTAATTATATATGTTCTTCATATATTTATTAAATTCTAATGTTTAGAAAATTAATAGGTCGGCTAGAAAATTAATCTTGCTCAATAACCAGCTGTCCTATTTAAAGATAATATTGTCTAAAGTATGATATTCACATATATGTATTTCTCTAACTATATAATTCTCTAATTCTAAAAGATTCTAAAAAAAGTGCAATAACTTGTGATTAGAAAAAAAGAAAGATCCTAAAAGTTGGCATGCAGCTGATAAGTTGAGGGAAGCCATATATGAAGGGATCAGTAAGGACCATTATACCACAAATTCTCCATGTGATGACATGTGAATTGTTTTCCACATCAATATATATATATATATATATATATATATATATATATATATATATATATATATATATATATATATATATATATATATATATATATATATATATATATATATATATATATATATATATATATATATAACTGAAACCAAAGCTTATTGTGGTCCTCTAACAACATTGGAATCATGTATATATTTACAGTCATGACACTCAATTTTTCATCAAGAGATATTTGAATTGAAAATAACAGGCAAAGAAAGTTCAAGAATTCTTGAAATATATATATATATATATATATATATATATATATATATATATATATATATATATACAAATTATAAAAAAAGGTAAATTACACTTAACCCCCTATAGTTACAAGCTTTTGCAGATGATCTCTTTGTGCTCGTAGTATGAGCACATAACCCCCTTGTGGTTGATGGAAAGGTAGCGTCCATTATCTTTTCCGTCATACTTCAATGAGGTCATCTGCAAAAATTAAAGGGAAATGTAAACACAAGACGATCATCTGCAAAATATAGTATTTTGACATTTGACACGCGCAGTAAAAACTAACGGAAGCAACCCCTATCAACCACAAGGGGGTTATGTGCTGATATTACGAGCACAAAGATGTCATCTGCAAAAAAAAATTAACTAAAGGGGTTTTAAATGCTATTTACCCTTAAAAAAACTGAAATGCCTAAATAAGTATATTACATGTTCACGTGTAGTTCATGTGATAAAGTGGGCACAACGCAGCAATATATATATATATATATATATATATATATATATATATATATATATATATATATATATATATGGTATATGGCTCAATTGAGCCAATTACAGATTCTTGTTACCCCTATAACTATAAGGAACAAGGAATATTGATGAGAAGCATCTATTTTGCAATGCAATGGGTCCCACAATACCTATCCCCTTTACACATATAAATACTCCTTCCCACTCTCCATTCCATTCATACCATCTCTCATTTGCTCTTTGTTTCCCTCCAATACCAATAAAAACTTGTTCAAGTTCAAAAAAAAAAAAACAAAAAAAAACCCTAAAACCATAAATTAATTAAGAATGTCTGGAGTTTGGGTATTCAATAAAAACGGAGTGATGCAGTTGGTCAAAAACCCGTCCGATTTTCACTGCGATAACGGAAGGCGCTCCGCCGCCAGCTGTAAAAAGAAGGCGTTGGTGTACTTGCCAAATGGGCAGGTGGTGTCTTCGTACACTTGCCTCGAGCAAATACTGAGAGGTTTGGGTTGGGAGAGGTATTATGGCGGTGACAATGATCTCTTCCAATTCCACAAACACTCTTCAATTGACCTAATTTCTCTGCCCAAAGACTATGCCAAATTCAACTCCGTTTACATGTACGACATCGTTGTCAAGAACCCAAACGTCTTCCATGTCCGCTCCATATGAAATATCAGTTGTCGTCTGAAGTCTTTGCTTCATTTCCGTTTCGCTTTTGTGTGGTAACATAAATCGATCGATCAGATCACATTCTTATATGAAGTGCAGTTATATGTTTAATGTAATTGGCTTGTCGCTTGCACTACTGTGGTTTTATTTTATATATATGTGGTTAATTAATTGTAGTTTTGAAGACTTTTATTATATTATGAACATATTAGGTTATATCAATATGGACATTGTTAGAGTAGGTGACCAACAAGCCAACTTTTGGCTGTGGTCTTTCGTATTTATTATGGTAATAAACGAACCTTTATTCGTATTAATGATAAAACACCTTGGAATTCTATATCTTTGTCCCTTTGTCACAAGCATAGATATAGTCCTTACAGTTATTACAAGTACTAGTAATTGATCGTTAGGATCGTGAGATATTTACTTAAGTATTATAACTGTTAAACGTGTTCCTAGTCGAAGAGTTACGCCACCAATGAGGATATCGGCCTTTCCCATTAGAAGACTAGCACTTAGTGTATGTGTACTGCATCTCATCAGTAAACGGCATTGTGATATCGGCATGCATAAGTGGGTGCTCGTAAGTTGACGAGTTCACTGAACTCCCTCACCCTAGAAATCTCTAAGTGGTTCCCAATAATCGAGTAGAGATATCTATGGTATAGTTGTACACCATTAGTCCTTATGACCTAGACATCACCGTGACTTCACTAGAGGACCAGCTGTATCGTGACCTGTCCCTGAGTTCCACCGAGGACCATCCCAAGGGCCAGTGTTCGTGCAGTCCGAAATCTAGTGGGAGGTCTGTGCATTGTAGTCGGGGATTCGATCGCTAGAATAGTCTTGGATGTCCTGTGTGTTCTGAAAGTTTGTAATCATTCGAAGTCTCTGGCCAGAGCTGACTAAGTGATGATTAGAGAATTCGATTCTCTAAGTCATGCACGTGACGATTACAACACTTGGAACGATCGCACCGTCATCGAACATATAAAGAGGTCTCGATGAACCAATGCCTCTAGTTCGATCGGGACATATGTATCGAAGGGACCGTACTGTACGTTAACTATATCTGAAGGTTCTTGCAGGCACTTCATTTGTATCTAGGGAATCATGACGCGTAGTTGCTAGACGCCAATCTTGATTCGTTGGGTGATTAAGGTGAAACGAGTTTCATCTTAATCGTAACTCTAAGGGGACGAGTTTTGACCACAAAGGGTTGTGGGCCCACGGCTAGCTTACACCTGAACCATCGAGGGTCACACTGCTCGTGTACATGAGATCTTTGAATAAACGGTCAGAGATAAAATAGTTTATCTTTGCATGATTGGAAGTCAATATGATTGGATCCAACATTCGTAATTTGGAATTATGAATGAGAATAAGAAAAGGAAAAGAATAGGCGAACGTGTTAGTGAACTTTCTAAATCGGGAAGTTTCCAAATTTAGAAAGTGCACTGAACTAGGGTTTCCACTTTTGGAAAGTTGGAAAATGAGAGTTGACACTCGTAATGACGAGGATATTATAATGATTCCGAAAATGTAATTGTTGCAATTTTCCGATCATTGAATTGAGAGAGACGAGCGAGTAAAAGAACTAACGAGCTTAAGCTGTTAGGCCCGGTCCAACTTAAGCCCGTTAGGGTTTTATGCAAGACATATAAATACTTGATTTATAGGTCTTGCACAGACACAACTAAGAGAACACACGTTCATAACCCTAGCCGCTGCCTCTCTCGATCAGCCACCCTCTCTCAAGGCCACCACCACCGCGCCGTCGCCGGAAATTCGCCGGAATCGGCCACCCGTTGGCCGATCTCTTTCGGTATTCCTTTCCTTCTTTCTTTTCTTCCGTTGTTCTGACTATTACGTGTCTAATGCCACGTGTTTAGTAGATCGAAGTATACGAGGTGAAATCCAAGATGAGGAAGATCGAAGAATCGAAGATGCGAGAAGGCAATTCCGAAAAACTGCTCTCGGATTTTCTGCGCTGCCCAGCGAGAAAATTCGCCATAAATCAACCGGTCATCCGATGGACGTGAAATTTTGACAGCAGCTTCACGACTCATAAATCTAACATCGGCCAGAAGGAATTGTTCATCCAGTAAATACGCATGGAGATACTGAAGTCGGAGCAAGGCTGTAATTTCAGATCAGCAAACAGGTTGGATCAATAGGAGTTGGAAGAGCAGCTAGCCATCTTCTCTCCGCGTGAATCACATGCGCCGCCGTAGCTCGGATCATTGCCGTTGCTGCCCCGGATTGCACGGATTGGTTTCCGTGGCAATCTAGCTTTGCTTAGTGCGCCTACCTCACGCTCCAAGAGGTAATGTTTCGAATCTATTGTCATTCGATTCGGTTACGTTTAAATTAATATATGCATGTTCGTTTTAATAAGAAACTTGTATGATTTTATGTGACTACATGAAATTGGTTTTATTATTGCGAGCATGATTATTTGATTTAAACGCGAGCATGCTAATTGATTTAATTTGGATTAAGTAATTAAGCATGTTGTTGTTTTAATTTCGCTGGAAGCGCAAAGGTACGCAATGTATGTTGTTTTAATTTCGCTGGAAGCGCAAAGGTACGCAATTAATTGTTTTTAATTTGTCGGGCATGTGCTTATGTGCTTTAAAGTCGTTTAAATCGCATTAAATTTTTGTTTTCCGCTGCGTACACGTGCCCGAAACCCAACAGTGGTATCAGAGCTCGTTGCGCAATTAATTGCGTTCGTATTTATATGCTATGATTTTATGCATGTTCGATTTATTAAAGTAGTGATTGTCGTATTATGTAATTGGGAGTTTTCGTAAGTTTAAAATATTTTTGAAATATTGTTTAGAATCTTTCCAGCTTTAAAATTGTTTAAAATTGGAAAATCGGATCTGAAATTGTTTTAAAATGTCGGTTTTTAAATGTTCGGATCGAACCGGTCGAACCGGCCGGTTCGATGGTTGTGTGCGATCTAGTTGACCGAATCCACGTGGATTCGAGTCGGTCAGACCGGTTCTCGGTCCGACTGACCCGGCCCACTGATTTGGGTCAGCTGGACCGGGCAGAACCGGACCGCTTCGGTCCGAACCGGTCAGACCGGTTGGGCCGAACCGGTCAGACCGGTTGGGCCGACACTGAAAATATAAAAAAAAAAAAAAAAAAAATTCAGATTTCTAAAATTAAACTTAAAACAAATTGATTTTAATTTTTGGAAAATTATTTTCAATTAATCCCAATTAGATAATTGGATCGACAATCATCTATTTTAGTAAATAGGTGTTAGATTAATTAATTAATTTAAATTGTTAAATTGATTTCAATTAATAGAACACATATATAATATTGATTATAAGTTCAACTTAATTAATAGTACCTCAACATTATTTGAATGATTTATGCTAGTTGAGGTTCTATAATTATTTTGAAAAACCCGATAATTAATTAATGTAATTAATTATGTAGTTAGGTCGTATGTTCCTCTTAGGACAATATGCGCTTCCATATACCTTTAGAGAACATAGATGTAGGAATCACATAGACCAATCCAAACCTTCTGATGAGATAAAACATTTTAATAAAATCCCTCATTCTTTTAATTAAGAATCATTTCAAGCTATAAAGAAAAACCCAATCTGTTGAGTTATTTCTTTCCTTCTGCCAACGGTTGGATTATGTGTAACCCTTTACTATAGTGCAGTAAGCCGTGTTAGCAAGGAGTGCTATGGTAGAGTAAGCTGTAATTCAATTGACATAATGATGAAGGTAGCCGTAGAAAAGGGTTATGTTGGATTAACGTGGTCGGCTAGATTAACTAGGGACTGCATTAGTTTGGCATAATCAAGTTCTATGAGCATCTTTGATTGGTAGGTTAGACTTGACACACGACAATTTTGATATTCGCGAGATTAACTTAGGTCATTATCAAGTGTGAGGAAAATTAATTTAGGGTCATATTGTGGATATGATTGATTGTGATCTACCTTTGGGCAAATATAATCGGGCTAGATTAACTACGGGTTATATTTGTCTATTGGACCTAAATCCCATTAAGAAAAATCAGTTTTCTCGTTTGTCTACTAGAGGGAAGTGAAACTCGATAAAATTAGTGGGAGAACAATTAAATAACATAAGTCCAAACATTTAATTGTAACAATCAGTTAACGCGAATCTCTAATAATCCTCTTTTCTATATGTCTCAGATAATTATGTCTAAGAATCCCATAATGTCAATCCTCGACAATAAACTCAATGGCCCTAATTACCTAGATTGGTTGCGTAGTCTTAAGCTTGTGCTAACTGTTGAGGGGCGTCTCTATGTTTTGAACGAGAGGCTTCCCGCCACTATACCGGCCACAGCGACTGATGCTGAAAAGGAAACTTATGAAGTTTGGAAGAAAGATGACACTCATGCTAGGTTCTATATGATAGCCGCCATGGAGCCCGCGCTTGCGAGGAAATATGAGTCTCACTTGCATGCTTTCGATATAAAGGCTCATCTCGATAGCATGTATAGTGAGAATATTAGGGCATCGAGGTACATTGCTACAAAGGAGTTGATCACAGCGAGACTGCGCGAAGGGACTTCGGTCCACGAGCACTGTCTCAAAATGATCACTCTCCTTGAAAAGCTAGTGCATCTCGATGTCACCCTCCCGGCCGAGCTCTCGTTGGATTTGATCCTGTTGTCTCTTCCTAGTTCCTATGAATTGTTTATAGTGAACTTCAACATGAACAAACTAGATCCTCCCTTGGATTAGTTAATGAACATGTTGGTCAGTTTCGAGTCCACCATTAAGAAAGAGAAGTCTGTTCTCATTGCTGTTACTTCTAGAAAGAAGAGTTCTTCCTAAAAGAAGAAAAATGAAAGAGTTCCCTTTCCAAACAGCAAGTTCGAAGTGGGTGAAGGTAATGGGGGCCCCTAAGGCGAAATTCAGCAAAACGTAAGGAGATAGGTCAAAACCCCGCACAACTTTGGCACGCTAGATTAGGTCATGTCTCTTTAAGAAGGATGAACGATTTTGTTAGTGAAGGACTGTTCTCTTTGGAGGA